TGCCACCGTCCATATGCCATCTTACACCAAAGATCCATCCCAATTGAATGAAGCAGACTTTGCTGAGTTGAAGAGCGCCCTTCTAAAGTACTCAGTTTTGGTTGTCCCAGATCAAGCTGATCTATCACCAGAATCACAACACGCACTTACCGTCAAATTTGATGAAACTACCGGTACTGCTTATGGTCATGATGAAAAGCTATTCCATTCTTCCAAGTCCATTTTGGCAAAGGATGGTAAATCTGTCCCAAGAAGACCAGAAGTGATGATGGTTGGTAATGGACATTTTGAAGCTGGCCACGAAGGTATGAAAGAGTTCACACTAGAACATCCAACGCATTTCCATTTCCATAAATCAATTTTGGGTGAGAAGGAGATCGCCAATAATCAAACTAGATTCTACAGATGGCACATAGATGCTGCTCTTTATGAGCTGGCTCCACCTGTTGTTACTACTTTGTTGGGTCTAATTGTTCCATCTACAAATGAAAAGCAAACCATTGTCTACGAAGACACCAAAGAGTCCAAGGAAGTTGTTAAGGGTGCCACCGCTTTTGCATCTGGTAAGATTGCCTTTGACTTGTTAAGTGAAGAACAAAAGCAATTTGCTTTAAACACCACAGTTGTTTACGCTCCTCATCCATACATGTACATTAACAACTGTAAGGCCACATCTGATGGATTGACTATTGAAAGTGAAACCCCACCAAAAGAAGTTCCATTAAATGAATTACCAGCTTGGGAAGACTCTAAAATCAAGAGATTACCATTGGTGTGGACCAACCCAGGTACCAAGAATCCACATTTACAAGTTCATGGATGCTGTGTCTATCAATTGGTCAACACGACAACTGGTGAAGTTATCGCTGAATTAGAAGAAGCTAGAAAGATTGTCCATGGTTTGATGAGACCTGCCATTTCTCCTGAGCACATCTATTGTCACGGATGGACAAAGGGTGACTTATGCATTTTCCACAACAGAGGTGTTATTCATTCAGTTACCGGTGAATTTGCACCACATGAAAAAAGACTAATGCATCAATGTAATGTTGCCAGTGGTGAAGATCCTTTATTATTCAAATAAATATTTCCTTTCCGATTTCACTAAAAATCTTTTCAACGACCACTTCCTACATGACATTTAGCATATTATTTTACAAGGCGTTTTTGTTTTATAGTATTATTAATTTAACTCGAGACTATCTCATTCGTTTTTACCTATTTTGAGTATTACTCCTAGTAAATAAGTTCGCTTAACCTCTGGCCGAAGCCAGTAGCGTTCCTTGTAAAAGGTCTCGATGTAACGAAATTAAATTCAAGAAGTCTATTATACAAACAGATATGCATAGATCAAAAAATACATGAAGAAATACATATATACATACACAAATTCTACTTCCCAGAAGCATCACCTACTGTCTGAGTGATCTCCTGCCTCTACCCCTATTTTCTCTTTCTCTGTAGCCAGCACCCTTATTACCTGCTTCAAGGTCTTTATCTGCTTGATCCCTTTGGTCCCTCACATTGGGCATATTTGGCAAACCAGTTCTTGGTCCTGATGGTTCAGGGGTTATTGAATTTGATGTTGGCCTCGATGGTAACTTCGGGAGACTTGGAAGGTTAGCATTGGCACCAGGTGGTAACAGGGGAGGAGGTGGGGGAGGAGGAGTTGCATCTGGTCTTCTGTTGATATTATTGATATTACTCATAGCGTTATTTCCCATATTGTTAGTGTTGTTGTTGTCCGAGTTGCTGTTGTTGTTGCTGTTGTTGTTGTTGTTGTTGTTGCTGTTGTTGCTGTTGCTGTTGTTGTTGTTAGCATTATTGTTATTATTATTGTTGTTATTCATGTGATTTTGGAACATATTAGGCATATTTCCCATGTTAGGCATGTTTCCCATGTTTCCCATGTTTGGCATAAATGGCATACCCATAGGGTTCATCATAAATGGTGGTGGTGGCATTCCCATGTTTGGATTTCCGTTAGACTGACTTCCAGGAACCACCCCAGGAGGCATCAAAGCACTCAATGATGGAGGAATAGCACCAGAGGCTAGTAATTCACTCACAATCTTACCTGGGTTGTAATCCATACGTAGCTTGTCCTGTTTTGCGCAGTAGGAAAGCCATGAAAGTTCATCGAATCCATAGTTGAAATAATCTGACAAATCAGCACCTGGTAATCTCCATGGTTTATCTTTCAATTCGGAGAGTGATAAGTGGGTAACGGGTATTCCCTCGTATTCTCCAATCTTATCGATGTCAATACCATTTGATTCCGTGAGTATGCTAACCAGTTGCTGTTGTTGTGTTTCCAATAGGTTAATTGCTGGAGCAGTTTCCTCTTTTTTTGTCTTAGATTCTGATGACCCTATCACGAACTCAACATCTGAGTCGGAATCCGAGTCATATTCGCTTGAATCATCATCATTGTCATCATTATCCTCATTACCAGCTGATTCCTCTCCATTTTGTTTTTCGGAACCTAATCCTTCTGTATTGGACTGGTCTATATCGTCACCATCCTTCGCCTCTATAACAGTGGTTGTTTGCTGTTGATCTTTCTCCGTATCGTCTCCATATAAAAAGTCGTCTTCGTCATCCATTGCAGTTACTGTTTAACAAGCCAGAGTCAAATTGATAATCACGGCTGAGAATCGGTTCGATGCAATGCCTACTTGAACGTGTTTCTTGGTCTTGAAGTTCGGTTTTGAGAGACTGTATTTCTATATAACTTTCATTTTTTGAGGCCAACATATATAGTCGTGTATTTACGGATAGTCGTCTCTGGTTTGGCAGCTGTGCTGGAAATGGTTTCAAAGACGGTTCTCGTATAATTAAGTGAGTAAGGGAGGTGGCTGCTAGAAAGATATTACGTTATATGGATGTGATAGTGAGTAACATATCATGTAGAGTATAACTACCAAAGTTGAGCACCTTCTATTGGATCACAACTCAAGTCTTGAGTGAGAAAAATAGGGTTTTTGCCTTCAGCATGAAGCTCCCCAAGTGAAATTTAATCACCACAGTCACCTCAACTTGGTCCTCACTTGATAAAATACTGCTAGGGATATAATGATTACAAAATATCAAAAGTAGGAAGTACCAAACTGTGTCGGAGGCTATCCAAACTCGAAACTCTACGAATGCCAGAGCATCTAGGACAACAAAACGAGCATCAAATTAGTTCTAAACAAAGCATCAGAGTTCAGATATTTAGGAACTTATTGTTCATCTGATATTCTTTTTCACTGGCACTCACTTGATACTAACAACTCCTTAATTTTGTAAACTCCCCCAATGTATTCGAAAAAAGGGGGACTCTGGGTCGAAATAGGAATGAAATGTTTGTCGATGATGTCATCCGTGCCGTAATCCAGAAGTTAACAACTTTCAAATATTTTTATGACCACGTGATATACAGCAGGTCTTCAATACCCTGAATATTTAACCCTCGCACCCAAGAAAATTTTTTATAGAGAGATTTTCCATTTAGCGAGAAGCAGATACTACTGACGGGAGCTGTGCTTGCGAGCCAGGATTCTCTCTCTGTAGAGTGTGTGAGGAACTCTCTCTTTTCACTCTACACTTGGTGAAAAATATCTCTGTTTTAAGATAGTTTAACTTGGAATTCTTTTGATTATCATCTTGAATTACCCAAGTTTATAATTTTATAATCAATAAACAAAATGTATGTTACAACGATAAACGAAGAACTGAAGAGAGTATTCATTGAAGATCGGGATCCGTCTAGTTGGAATTACAGATTCGAATTAAATTTAATTTTAACAACGATTACAATTGGAAACAAATAGATACAAATAGATACAAATAGATACAAATAGATACCAATCAAAGATTAATCATATAAATGACAGCAATGGATAGATGATACACTGTGTGTTCTCCGTCTCTACAGCAAGTTAAAGAAGAGATTCATGGAAATGGGCTCACAAATAGACACATGTATACTCAGTAGACTACAAAAGCAAACACCACACAACATGACATATCAAAGGCAGAAATAGCATGTTTGAGTGAATAGTTTTTTGATTATCTCTCAGATACTACGTTTTATTTATCAACGGATCAGATCGTTCGCTTCGATTCCATAGGAGAAGAACTACATGTTGAGTTATATTACAAAAGATACAAAAGCATTAAAGAACCATACCGTAGTCGAATGATGGTATCATATAATACCCACTCAATGATCCAACATTTCTGTTCAATCCCACTAGCTAATATGCCTAATTTACAATCACTGAAATTTACTCTATCAACTTTATTAATACATTATTTTAGCAGCAATTTACTAACAACTTAATTTACTCTATTTTAGGTCCAAGAGAACAAAGAAGGTCGGTATCACCGGTAAGTACGGTGTCAGATATGGTTCATCCCTAAGAAGACAATGTAAGAAGTTAGAAGTTCAACAACACGCTAGATACGATTGTTCTTTCTGTGGTAAGAAGTCTGTCAAGAGAACTTCTACCGGTATCTGGAACTGTAAGTCCTGTAACAAGACTGTTGCAGGTGGTGCTTACACCGTCTCCACTGCTGCCGCTGCTACTATCAGATCAACTATCAGACGTTTAAGAGAATTGGCTGAAGCTTAAATCAAGTGTTGGGTTATCTTATAATTTTTTTGAATATTTATAGTTATATTATCAAAACATAATAATGAAAAGCTTAGTTGTATGTTTTTTATAAATCAAGCGTTATACAAGTAAAAATATTCTATCACTTTTACGTAGAAAGATTGTGGCAATTTGAAGTGTACTGACGTAGTTCACCTTTATTTTCCCTTCTTCACAAATTTCCTTTCACTCAGCAAGGGAATGAAATTGTTCTATCCTATTGGCAAATGTTATCTGAATTGCAAATGTTATCTGAACTGACCTCGATTAATCCTGTTTCTCTTGGTAAAAAAAATCGAAACCGTCAATCTTCTGTTTGACATTCAAAAATAAGGATTGAAAAAAAATAAAAAAATAAATTGGTGCATACGGGGTTTGAACCCGTGACCATCGCGTTGCTTCGTGAGAAACAATGTGTGTGACATAAGTATAGACGTCACTGTACGACTATAAGCACGATGCTCTTGACCTCTGAGCTAATGCACCCAATTCTTAGCAAGGAGCGAGATTTTTGTCCGTACTTTGGTAGTCTGATTTTTCGTCTCAAGTTTTTGAACACCATTTTCTCACCTTTACAGCCACCGTTACAGGTCCTTTTTAATATGATCTTGTAGTGCTCCTTTTGTTCTATCAAGTCCATATTTGAAATTCTTAGTTTTGTGTGGAATACGTCTGAAATGATGTATTTTATAAATTTTGACCAGATAGCGGTTCATTTTACTATGGTCTAGCACTTTTCTTATGGAGTAAAGCATTTATCGTAGGTATTCAGCTATTTAAAATATAACCAGAGTGAGATCACATACTGCTTGAATATAAATACCATCAAACTTGTGGAGTATTATTGAAAATAAGCTATTTATTGAAGAGACAAAGATCAAGATTTTGAAAAAAAAAGAGAAAAATAACTTTCTGTCTACATTGGTCCAAAACTCTACTATTCAATGCACATTGAAAATACTTTAATAGGATAATACTTACATGATTGGCTATTTCCATTAATATATTACGATTACTGGCTTTTGGAGTCAAAAAAAGCAATCAGTCGAGGTAGAAAAATAGAAAGGAAAATCACAAAATAATTTAACACGCAACCAAATCTTTGAAGGAGTTATCCTTTGCTGCTAGGGCTTACTTAGCTTTATGGTTTTATAGTTACCTGGTCTACATAACCACTATCAGGATGATTGTTTGTTGAATGAAAGTGGGTTACTTTAACCCCATGAAGAATATAGTCAATATCATCATAATTATAGCAAAATCTAAGAGGAAATGTGGCACTTGTAAATGGATTGTTAGGAGAGTGAATTTGTTTAGAAGAAGAAATGGTAAAGTATAGGCACTCACTTTGAGCAGCTTAAAAAGAAGTCAGTCAAGCATATTCAAAGATCTGAGATGTATATTCAGTTTAGTTTGGAAATAGAGTGAACTGTGTCGAGGACTTATAACACGAACAGAAACAAGAGCGATCAGTACACAGAAGATGGTGACTCTACTAGAACGCAAGGCAAAAGCATAATCAACCAGATGATCATCACATAAAGACATCTTTATGAAGAGACTGATTTTTGGAAGAGATAGATTCAAGAGTGATTTCAACTCAGCTATATTATTCAGCTCTCAACTTTGTTTTTACGGTATTTGACTTTGGCTTCCTTGAATTTCATTAGACAACTGTTTTATGACCTGTTTCTAGGGAGAATAATGGAAGGTTGAAACTAAAACACCACAGTTACAATATTTGCTACCAAACTGACAGCATTACACAGAAGAAAATAAGACGCTGCGATCAAGGAGATTAATTTAACTATTAACACTCTTATAACAAATCTGCCGAGTTTCTCAAAGCTTATAGCTTAACGATTGATTTCTAATAACTACCGGTAACAATGGATTCTTTTTTGACTCCAATATGAAACGTAACATGAATATGGTATATTTCAGCTGAGAATCGCCTGCTCTAGAAACCATGAAATAAATTTTGGATCTTTAATACCGAGAATAGAGGATCATTCAAAAAAGGGCATTTCACTCGAGATGGAGCGTTGGAACAACTACTTTCCACAAACGCTATTTTTCAGTTTAGTCTTTGTTCAATATGTTAATGACTCTAAGTAATGAATATTGGACCCTTCATTCACTAGATACGACTCTTAGAGTGGCATCGACATTCAAATCAAGTTGTTTCTCGGCACAGCCCTCAGAAAATTTTCCAAAATATTTTATTGATAATGCGGAGAAATGTTAACACCTTTATAAGAGTTAACAGTTTTTCGATCATCCCAAGAAACTAAAATCAACTGCTCGGAGTCCAGATCTAGCGGAATATGCATAGAAGCATCAAAACCACTAGTAACACTTTTGCTTCTTTGAAGGGATTCGGAAGGAGACTTTATTCAACTCCGACTACAACATCATCTCAGTTTCTCAAATTCAATGAATCTCCGACATATTCCCAACCTGAACCCAAGCCTGATGATCAAATAATAATATCGATGTCATCTGGTGTTGACTCATCAGTTACAGCTTTGATGTACTCCAAATTATATCCAAACGTCAAGGGTATCTTCATGGCTAACTGGTCGCCTGATTCCATTGGAGGTGCTAAGAAATGTACCGTTGAAAAAGATTGGGAAGAAGTACAAGCAACGTGTCAACAATTAGGTATACCATGTGAGAGAGTGAATTTTGAGAAAGAATACTGGTCCTCGGTATTTGAGCCCATGTTGGAAATGTATAAGAAAGGTCTAACACCAAACCCTGATGTTGGTTGTAATAAATATGTCAAGTTTGGTAAGATGATTGAACATCTGAGCGAAGAACTAAAAGGTCAGGGCGATTGGTGGTTAGCAACAGGTCACTATGCCAAAGTAATGAAACATCAACCAACGGGTGAACATCATTTACTTAGATCGGATTTCATGCCCAAAGATCAATCGTATTACTTAAGTCAGGTACCGGAAAATGTACTCAGTCGAATCTTGATGCCAATGGGTCATTATACAAAACCTCAGATTAGAGAGATTGCAAAAAAAAACAATCTGCTGACGAAGGATAAGCCAGACTCCCAAGGGTTGTGTTTTGTATCGCAAATTGGTAAATTCAAAGATTTTCTAGGAGAATTTCTTGAAGCTAATCCAGGAAACATTGTTACTGAAGATGGAAAGATATGGGGTCAACATACCGGTTTATGGCATGGAACAATTGGTCAAAAATCGGGTATCTCTATGCCACAAGGTGACCCAAAGTACAAAGGGGTTTGGTTCATATCTGGAAAGAATCGCCATAGAAACGAGTTGGTCATATCCAAGAAATCAGATTACAATGCATTTCATAAGGATACAGTTTATGTCACTGATTGGTCATGGGTGAATAAATCATTAGACTTCAATGATAGTTTATGCACTCGAGTGAACGAGCTAACAATCCAGTTCCGCTCATTACAAGAACCTGTTTCTTTGAAGAAGCTCACTGTTGATGTTGATGGAGAGGGGGAAGTTATTGAGTTTGAATTAAGTGAAAAGACGTTTGGAATTGCTCCCGGTCAATTCCTCGTTTTGTATCATAGGGATAGAGTACTAGGGTGTGGTGTTATTACAAACATGAAAAACTCATCCGAGAGTGTAGCGTAATTAATGATTAAATAGCATTCATTATAGATCATGTATATAGAAAACGAAAAAACACACAATTATAGTTCATTCAGTGATATTCATCTTGCTGTCACTTTTCTTCATTGCCAGCTTTGATTCAAGGCTTGATAACTTTGACTCAACAAACAGATAGAAATTGTTTTGTTCCGAAATTTGTAACAAGTTAAGTTCCAGCAATTTGACAGACCTCGCTATCAAACTATTGTAGCTGGACTTAAGTTCCAAATAACATTGGAAAATGCTTTTGTATTGAGCTTCTGATATGCTTCCAAGTTTAATCAACTCTAGTTGCTTATCATGATCAATCTCCAGGTTGTTTAGACTGTTCGAGAGTGCCAATAACTCTTCAGCTGAGGTTAAAACTCTCTCCAAACTAGGTAAGTTTAACTCAACTAGGGTCTTCTTATCAGCCGCAGTCAGAGCCCCGTCGCTTTTATCCATCGGAGGAGATGTTTGATATAACCCAAGCTCATTATAAATGCCAATCGATTTCAAGTTTGCTATCAGTTTGTTGTGCGATTCACTATTCTTCATACTGCTCAAAATCTTTTGAAACTCATTGAGCTGTGTCCTGAGTTGTTTGTATATTGTTTTATCCGTAGTGACCCCATTGAGCCTTGATTCAAGTTCTATCAATCGAGAGTCCAGAGCTTCATATGAACCAGAGTCAAGCATCGCATTATGTTTATGATTTAGCTTCAAAGTGATCAACTAAGAAGGGAGGTGTTTGCTAGATGTTATCTGAAAACATGACAAAGTCAAGATAGATAGTAATTGATGGTGCACGGATGTACAAAATAAAGTGGAATCAGCGGAAATTGAAGAGTGGCAGAGCTGAGGTGAGTTGAGTGCCGGGAGTTGTCTGTTGCGCCAGCTGTTGGAGTTGTTTCTCTTTTGACCAGGTTTACAAGGAGGTATCATATATACATCGTACAGTTGCATATCTATAACTACTGTTTGACTCAATTAACACATATTTATATATAATTCCACGATGGTAAGTACCAATTTAGTGATAGTAATTGGGGACCGTTTCATCGAGTAACGTCATCGATTCGCTACGTGGTGTTTGGCCTTGGTTGCCTATAGTTCATCTATGCATATCAATTGCTAGCCCACTAATGCTCATTATGACGTTGAATTATGCCCGTATATACTCCCTGCTGAATGTTACAGCAACCCAATGATAGAGACGTTTCTCAATTTGAAACATGAGCTTATCTGAATAGCGTACTAACATATAATAATACATTTCACAACAGTCCAGATCAGGTGTTGCCGTTTCCGATGAAGCTTTAAAAGCTTTCAATGACTTAAAGCTAGGTAAGAAGTACAAATACATCATTTATGCATTGAATGATAAAAAAACTGAAATTGTTGTTGACAAGACCTCAGTTGATGGATCATATGATGACTTTTTGGAAGAATTACCAGAAAATGACTGTAAATATGCCATTTTTGATTTCGAATACGAAATTGGTAATGGTGAAGGTAAGAGATCTAAGATTGTCTTCTACCAATGGTCTCCAGATACTGCTAATGTTAGAGCCAAGATGGTTTACGCCTCTTCAAAAGATGCTTTGAGAAGAGCTTTAAACGGTGTTTCTACTGATATCCAAGGTACTGACTTTAGTGAAGTTGCTTTTGAATCCGTTTTGGAAAGAGTTAGTAGAGGTGCTGGTTCTCACTAAGCTAGTTACATGTTCCGCAACTCCCCTCTAATGAAAACTCGATTGGTCTATCAATTATCTTCCCTGCTTAGAAGGTAAGAGCTTGCCTTGTTTTATTCTTAATCTTTTTGTTTGTCTCGACTATCATTTATCAATCTAATAC